CCAAAGTAAGCTGGAGGAGAAAGTGTAATAGATGCAAATTAAGCCAGGTAGTAGCAGTGTGTGCGGAACCAGACTCCTTCAGTCCCTAACCCAGTCTACAAAGGACATTATATTCCTTAACTTCTCCGTGCCTCAGTCTCCTCATCTGTAAAATGCTGGAAACAGTGCCCAGCTTATACAGTTGTTGTAGAGTCAATTATGTAGCCCACATAGAGTATCAGAAAGAGCTCAACAGAAGATGAGCACCTCATATTCATCATTAGTACCACACTGAGCGTTGGGTGGCCAGGAAAAGGGCTTTCAGGAGGAAGGGGTTGAAAACTGAGGGATGTGGCAGGGAAGAGTTCCAGGAAGCCATGGCACCTGAACTACCTGAAGTGGACCTGAAAGCACAAGACTGAGCCATTGAGAAGGGAGCACACTCCAGGTGAGAGGGTTGCTGCTGCTTAAAGTCAGAGTGAGGCAAAGGAAGGAGCACTTAAATACCAATGAAGAAATGAAGTCACCAGAGCCAGAGTGTCTTTGCTAAAAACCCAGATTAAAACTGAGTGGAGGGGAGATAGTTTGCTCAGTACAACTGCCATTGTGTTCCTAGTGTTCAACATTTAACATACTTTTAGACAATAACGATGCACATTCTTTCTGAAATGTTCTGTTCTCTGCTCCTGGAATGGCAGAAGGATACCAGAAAATAAACAAATAAACGTTTTTGTTTGTTTGTTTCCTGCAAGTAGGTAATCAAAATCAACATGCATCTCACTCATCTGTCCTTCTCTGGGGAAGGAGGGTGTTGATGAGGCAGAAAGTTGAAGGAGGGGATGCTCCAGATCTACCCTTCAATTCCAATCACCGTCAACAGCCCAGACCATACTAGTGAACCTCACTTGCTAAGTTAATGCAACTTTAAAAGCGGTGTCCCCTACAAGTCACCCCAGCTGCTCTCCAGGTACACACACTCCAAGCCACACACAGAAGTGGACCTCTGTACCAATTTCTCAAACAGTAACTGCAAAATCAGGTGTCTGAAAATTCTGACCTCTCAAAGAAATATAAACGGCAAGTAAATATATGAAAAAATGTTCAACATCATTCAAGTGATGCAAATTAAGATAGCCCTGAGATTTGATCTCCAGAAAGAATGGCTATCATCAAGAAATCAATCAGTAACAAATGCTAGAGGGGCTGTGGGCAAACAGGAATCTTTCTCCACTGCTTATGGGAATGTAGACTGTAATAACCACTGGAAATTAGTGTAGAGATTCCTCAAAAAACTAGGATTATACAGGATTAGAGATCCCATTTGACCCAACTATTCCCCTTCTGGGTATTTTTCTGGAAGAATTTAAAACATCATACCACAGTGATATCTGCACATTTATAGAAGCACAGTTTATAATAGCTATATTTTGGAACAACCAAAATGCCCACTGACTAAGGAATGGATAAAAAAAAGGCGTGGTTTTTTATACAGAATGGAATACTACTCAGCCATAAAGAAGAATAAACTTGAGACATTTCTAGGTAAACAGATGTACTTTTGAGAACACACTCTTTTTTTTTTTTTTTTGGTCTTTTTCATTTTTATCGGTACCAGGGATCGAACTCACGACCACCTGCTTGCAAGGCAGGTGCTTATGCCGCTGAGCTAAACCTCCAGCCCCGAGAACACACTCTTAAGTGAAATAAATTAGACTCATGTAACTATCACACTGTTTCTCTGGTATGAGATACTGAATGTATAAATAAGGAGCAAAATATATAAAAGGCTTTATGAAACAGGAAAAAATTGTCCAAAAGAATGGAGAACTAGGGAGGAGAGGAAAAGGAAGGAAGGAGGGAAAAAAAAAACAGTTCATACTCTTAAATGAAATAAATAATTCAGACACACATATTTAAATATTACACTGTTTCTCTAGTGAAAGAAATTGAAAAGGTAAATAAGGACCAAAATGTATAACAGATAATTGGAAATTGGAAGAAAATATTAAAATGGGAAGGGGAACAAGAAATGGGGGAAGGGAAAAGGAAGAAAGGGAAAAGAAAAAGAAAGAACAGAAGGAAGAAAAGGAAACAAAGCTTTTGTACATAATGGGGGAAGAGGCACTGAAGGGAGGAAAGGGGTTCAGGGAAAAAAAATGAAGAAATATCATGTATAGGCACAAACTTCCTCTATTGAATGTGATCACTATGTATATCTAAAATATACCAATAAAATTAATTTTTAAAAAATTCTGTCCTCTCAAGGAAACCCCCAAGAGCAGGTTAATGTAACTTCAAAAGAGGACTCCTCCACCCTAGCCTGCCTCAGCCTGCTTGACCACTAGTCACACTCCCAAGCCACACACAGTATCTGAACAATCAGATGTCTGAAAATTCTGAGCTCTCAAGGAAACCCATAAGAGCAGATGCTGTAATATTTAGTATATTCACTGATAACACTTCCTGCACTACCAAAGAAGAAACTGCAACATCACAATAAGACTAGTCCACACTCCTCATCCAAAGAGGAAAAATCACTTACCTGGGAACCCCTCTAGACAAAAAAAACAAGTTTGCCAAGCTAAGTTGATAAAGTTACCTTGTTTTCTGCAGTATCAGAACAAACCCAACACTTGGCAATACCAGAGCCAGGGAGGGCCCACAGTAAGGACAAGCTTTGTGGATTATTTCCCAAACCAAACACCTACAGCTCTCAGTGGTACTACATTTTGCTGGAAAAGCTTGTTTTCTCTGATCTAACAGCTATAACTTTTAGTGTTTTTAATAGGACTCAAGATTCGCAAAGCAAGGCTACTCTTCATAGCACTTCCAAAATATTTACAAAATGAAACACTTCCAATCTTAACTGTGTTTTGTTTGTAAATACCTTATTTATTCTGAGAATAGCAACAACACTAAAAACAGTCCTTTAAATAAAGTAGCTTAGATAAAATCACCCACAGATACACATCCTAAGACCCAGAACTATCCAGGAAGCACGAAAAAGCATGATTCAAAGGACTCAAATTCTTCTGCACCTATTCAGGAAGCCCCAGTAAGTATTGCTGCCCAAGGACGTGACCTACCATCTCTTCAATATTACACTTCCTCACTAATTTACACAACTGAAAAAATATGGACTTGGACTGCTGGATGATAACAAACCTACACAAATTGGACAAATGTTCTGTAGTTATCAGCATACATGGGAAAACTAATCCTGTTAGAGAACAACTCTAGCCCAGATGAGAGAACTCTAACCTCCCTGCTCCACTGCAAGCCACTGGTGGCCTGGGAAAGTGGCTAGGCCTCAGGCTCTCTCCCTATTCTTCCAACAATACCTCAAGGGAAAATTACCTGAGCTAAGAACAGTACAACTGGCAGAAATCTAGAATCTAGTTGGGTGTAATAAATTATAACTGGTACCAAAAAAAAAAAAAAAGTCTACATGAGCATATTCCAAAAGCAAATAATTACAAGATGCATCTCTCAGGGGCTGGGGATTTAGCTCAGCGGCATAAGCACCTGCCTTGCAAGCAGGCGGTCATGAGTTCAATCCCCGGTACTAATAAAAATGAAAAAGAAAAAAAAAAGATGCATCTCTCCTCCAGACACACTGAAGGCCTTGTGTGTCAAAGAGTTTCCATTTATGGTAAAATGAAATTCTGACCAAAAACTATGAGAAATGTGAAAAGTAGATGAGACAACTATTTGAGAAATACTGAACTCAGATTTCTAATCTCAGTTCTAGTACTTAATATGCAGCAAACAATTATTAAACATCAATGAATAGACTAACACTGCTCTAAATGGACAGGGAAGACAAGAGTAAGATTCTGTCCTCAAAATCTTATAATCTAGTAAAGGAGACAAATCAATAAATCAATGAAGGAGATTTTCCTTTAAGTGCTATGGCAAAAAGTGACTATTTCTCATCCCTTGTGAGGATGTAGCCATCTACTTAAGACAAGTATTTACCTGAACTTGAACACAGGTACACAGACACTCACATATCTGCAACTTCTGTGAAGATGGACTTGATACAAAATGCAAGTGGGGGGAAATAAAATCTTTCTATAATTTAATTACAATTAATGTAATTAGATTACAAATAACTGTACAAGAATATGTAAAAAGGCAAAACCTAAACAATTATTTCCAAAGCTAAAAGTATAATTAGAATAGTAGCAGCAGTATGAATCGTAATAAGCTGCCCTGCCCAGTTTAAAGCACTGCCATGAAGAACCAGGCTATTTTATCATACAAGTAAGATTTAGAGACATTAACCCAATGTTAGAAGATGGGTTTAAACCCTCACCTTCAGATTACTGGCAATGGGGCAGAGGTCTTTTTTAGAATTGCAAGATATTATGCCTAGAATCAACTTTAGGAACCCTATACTATATTCATCTCCTCACATTACCAGTGAGGAGACAGAGGTTCCCAGAGGTAAAGGGGTAGCCTCAGACAAGGCAGGCATCAAGGCCAAAGCAAGAGCCAAGTCTCCGACCGCCCAGCTTGCCCTTCACTCTGGGACCTGCATTCTCTAGGCTGATATTTAGATTTCCCCAGAACCACAAAGCATGGCAAAGTCTTTCAAAATTCATTTAATTGTCTCCCAATCACTTCCAGTGAATTGCACCTCTAGCAAATAACTGGCAACCATTATTGGTGCCCAGTGGGCTTTCTTGATGGAGAATAGGGGCGAAATAGTCCTGAAGAAGTACTGACAGGCTATGGAAATGATGCAGCTAACCTGAAAAGGGAAAGCAATTTCTCCAGTGATAACTTTGGTGCAGGGTGGGGGGGCGATGCGCCAAATGATTAGTTTTAGGGAGAGAGAAAGATGGAGAGATACAATATGGGCACTCAGGAAAGGAAAGGCTCCAAAAATAAGGCCCAAGCCATTTACCAGCGAATGAGGAGGGCGCCGGGCTGTGAACCAGTTGAGAGGAGCTGGGAGCAGCTGGGCCAAGGGTCCACTTGACCACACCCACTTCGGCCACGCCCTCCCAGCTGCCCGCCGAGCCACGAGAACCTAACAGCAGGGCCAGCAATTAGGATTCCAAAGGCCCGAGTCACCATAGCAACGTGATTTGTCTGGCAGTCACGGCGTCCAGCTCGGATCTCAAGAAACTACCAGTTCAACGAGAGCGATACGGTCAGGGTGACATTTGCTCTTGATGCTCTGCGGGGTGGAGAAAGCGGGGGGGGGGGGGGGGGAATAGAGTGCAAAAATCTATACCTATGCGCAATGAAATATTTCATGGGGGTGAGACAGAATACTCCAAGCCTGGCTATTAGGTACGTGAGGGGAGATTTAGTTGAATTTTATGAATGAGTGAGTCAGCTGGAAAAGCGAAAGGAAACCCAGAAGCCTCTACATCGCCAGGCCTGGCGTTCGTCTCCCATCAACGGCAAGCCGATCCCAAGCAGCTGGCTTTTGGCACCGGCTGGGTAAACCCAATTATCCACCCCTCCTTTTCGCGAGCCCTACCATAAGAGGATCCGACAGCCCGCCCCGGGCTCCGAGGGGCGAGCTGCGCCCGGCCCAGGAGCTCGGGCAAGGTAGCGATTCCTGAGGAACCGGGATCCCCTCGCGGAGGGCGCGGGCAGGGGCTCTGCGGCGCCGCTGGCCTCGCCGCGGGAGCCAGCTCCCCTCGTCCCTCCGCAACGCCCCCTTTGCCTTCCCCTTCCCTGCGGAATCCTTCGGAGCTGTCTGCCCGACTCCGGGCGCCCCGCGGACCGTCCCCCGAGGCGGCTCGGAGCCGACGATGCGCGGGCAGAGAAGCAGGAGGCACCGGCCTCGGGGACGCCTGCTCCGCGCCGCTGCAGCCATTTTCCAAGCCGCGCTCGGTAACGCGCGTCTCGGCGCTGCTCCCACCCAGACCCGACCTGAAGGACGGGTTTAGTATTTACTTACGGGCCCGCAGCTCCGCGGTGGCAACGAGAGGTGCGCCGCGCACCGGCGCCCGGCCGAAGGGTGCACGCCCACCCGCGACAGAGCTGGCGGGGCCCCTAGAGAAACGCGCGCGGCGGACGACACAGACGTCCCCTCACCTGAGCAGCCCCCGCATGCTAGAAAGACGGCTCTGCGCTCCGGGTACAATGGGATCCGGTTAAACAGTTTCCTCCACAGAAGATCGTAGGTTACTAACTTGCAGGTGACATCACCCTCTCTTCTCCCGATAGGATAGAATGTGGCGCGCACTGCGCATGGACTCCCCGGTGGTCCCGAAGACTTCTGGGAGTTGTAGGCGCAACCCTGCAGGCCGAGCGAGACGGTCTAGTGCCGCGGCTCGTGGGAACTACATTTTCCGACGCACCCCACGACCTCCAGACCCCGCCTCTTCCCCGCCCCGTCGGACCCCGCCCCGCCTCTCGCCTGGCGCTGCCAGTGGTGGTCTAGCGGACACCCGGCCGGACGGAGGCGCCCTGCGGTCGCGCCCTTTGACTTGACCTCGTTAGCTCGGGACGGCTAGGGCTCTGGCGCCACAGCCAGCCCATTCTAACCCCTGTCTGGGCTTGCCTGGCCCAAATCAGGCAAAGAAGATTCAGCGGCATCCGCCTTCTCCACGCAGAGCAGCTGCTTTCTGGGAGCCGGTGACGGGAGTTAAACCCTGTGTTGGTGGTGTTCCGCAGTCCTCGCGCGCGCGGCGACGTGGGCCGCAACCTGGAGGGCTCCGCGCGTCCTCACTGTCGGTTCAGCCCTTCGCTGCCCTTCTCCGCTAACGGAGCCCGGGACGGAGCAGCGTGGTCGGCAGAGCTGACGGGAGCCCCAAGGCTGTCACGACGACGGCGGTGTGACAGAGTCGGGGATGTCGCCAGCGCCTGGCTGTCGCCCTGCCGAGCTTTTGTTCCTCCCCAGCGACTTCCCGCCCTGTGGCTCCCAGGGTTAGGGTTAGGGTTAGGGTTGTAAATTTTTTATTTAAAAGTAAGTAAAAGATGTATAGTACAATTCTGACCGGAAAGATTTTGTTGTTAATACCCAGAAGTGCTTTGTTGCAATATGCATTTATTCACTGAATACCAGATATCGTGAAAATTAATGTTGACAGCAAATCTCCAGGTGTCTCCACTGAGGTGGGGGGCATTTATTCAAGTTGTATATGTGCACTAAATTATAATGGCATTTGATATGGCCCAATCACATTTAAGAACAAACGCGCACCTCCGTTTCCTTTAGCAAAATCTCTCCACATCTTCTTGGGGAATTAAGGTTCCCAATTAAGATTTCAAACAACTCCCCACCTAATTATTAATGGAAATCTTAGCACACATAACTTTTTCTGCAACACAAATTTAGGTTCAAATGAACGTTATTGGTGGAACTAATTGAGTTCAAGGGGGGAAAATCCTTTGTTTTGCTGACAGAGATGTTTTAGCGCCGAATTCTGGTTTTCTTTTAGCAAGCTTACTCTTTTACAGTCCAGACCCATTTTCCTCCATACAAGAAAGATAACTTTGAATGTTGCTCTTCCTGTTTCAAGCTACTTTGTCCGTTTAAAATACTGTCTTAAACGGAACCCAGAAGATACAAATGTTCTTTTGCCCATCGCATCAAGGGTACAAACAGCGATACTGTAGCTAATGGATAGACAATGTACCGCACAGTTCGTTGTGGAAAAATATTCTGTTTCCTCAAGAAACTTGACTGAGATGAGTCAAAGGCTCTCCTGGTTTTATAACTCTGTAAACATGGATGGAAAGATGGAAAAAAGATGGAAACATAATCAGTAAGCCTGAAATTTATTGACTCAGTAAACTCAATGTGAAGCCTTTCTTTAAGGCAGGGCTTATTCTCATAGTTAAAAGATGTTATGGAGATACACTCTGAGGGCTATTTAATAGCAGAAATTACCATGTAACAAACTCTCTTGGCTCTCTCAGCAATAAAGGAAAGGATAAGGTTCAGGTCTGCCTGAACAACAACAAAAAATTTATTCTGTATAATAGTATTATAGAGGTGTGCCATGTGACATAGCTCATCTTCACACATAAAGGACAGGGGTGGTCTGTAAGCACAGCAACCTGTGGGTGTGCACATAAGCCATTCTATCAAACAGACATAAATATACATGATAGGTACAGAGAGAAGGCATTGTGTCGTTTTTTCTCTAAGTGGTGGGGGATTTGAATTAATCCCTGCACACTGTTTCATTGGTAACCAAGGGAAACAAAGATGGCTCTTTAGTATCAGAAATTCAGACTGTGGAAATGGGACTTTAAACATTTCGGTGGAGGCAGAAAGGAACTCACACACACTCATCACTGTGTATATTTTTATTTCTTTGTAGGTGACCAACTCATTGCATAAACCATCAAAAATACCCAGTCGGTCTGGTTTAATTTATATTTTTAGCTAAAAGAGATTCTTTGCTTTTTTCCTTTTGTTCTTAAGTGACTTTGGCTCTAGGCTAGGGATTTAGCTCAGCGGCATAAGTGCCTGCCTTGCAAGCAGGCAGTCATGAGTTTGATCCCTGATACCGATAAAAAGACAAAAAAAAAAGACTTTGGCTGTTGTGGAATTATCTTTTTTTTTTCTCTCTCTCTTTTTCCTTTTTATCGGTACCAGGATTGAACTCACAACTGCCTGCTTGGAAAGCAGGCGCTAATGCCGCTGAGCTAAATCCCCAGCCTATTGTGGAATTATCTTATAAAAGGTCCTGCCTCATCCAATAATCATGGCCTATTAATTGGGAACCTGCATGGCTTTTAAGAATAGATCCTCCAGACAGGTGGGGAGCAGAGAGCAAATGAGGACTGTTTCTGATCTTTCAAAATAACTTCTCTTAGTCCTGCCACAAGGTTTACACTAGAGATGAGATTTTAGTTAAGAAAGGAGATGAGACATCAACAGGATAAAAATTCAAGTTTATATTCTTACTTATGTTTTCATGTTTAGTTTTTGGCAATATAGTTGTGTGTGAGCCCGGGTTTGAGAATGTGTCATTTTACCACTTTGAGCCATATTACTTTTACATATTGCTTATATCTGTAGCTTATTCTCTTTAAGTCTCATTCCTCTCATTTGTAAAATGGGATCGACAGTAATACTTCACACAAGGATTAAATCAGATAAAACATGTAAACATACTTTTCATACTGAAAAGAACTACACAAATATTACTTCTTTTTAGCATTTATAATTTTCCATTAAGTTTGCCTCAGAAATGGTAGGCCTGACTTTTGAACAAGTTAAAAGCCTATTTTATATATAGATATAGATATAGATATTTATCTGGGGATTGAACACCAGGGTTTTATACCTTAAACATGGGCTCTACTGTTAAGCTACATCTCCAGCCCCCAAAATTCTTACTTTTAACAAGAGACTATTAGAAATTATGTGGTGTGTTCATATTATCTTTCTCCAATTTGTAAGCAGGAAGAACCAACTTTAAAGGAAAAAATGACAAATCCAGAGTTGAACATGGCTAGTCTCAGATTCACAAGGTCTCTACCCACTGTACCACGATGGGCACTGTTCTTGGTGGCACAGCAAGCCCTTTCCAGCTTCCCAGCTGGAAAAGACTACATAGGTTGCAGATAAAAAGAAGGGAAGCCAAGGTATTTATCCATGCCCTGCCCTGGGTGATGTTTATGACAGTAAGGGCAGCTTTGCCTGTTGGACTGGTCTGTCATGGTTCCAACTATATTAACAGTAACTTTTCCCTTTGTCCCTGCAACCTGAGGGTAGAGGTACCTTCCTGCTGTTACTAATGCTTGAGTTGCAAGTTTGGCTTCCCAAGTCATCTGTCATCAGTGTGGCCAAATCCCTATACCATTTAACCTCTATTTTAGAGACTCAGAATAATTTGTTTTCTTAGTGAAGCACCTTGATCTACTTATGCCTTAAAGACTTTTAGGGGCAGAAAACAGAAACTTTGTCTGGCCAGTTTAAGCAAAATGAAGAAAGAATGTAGTTAAATTTATTTAAAGGATTAAACCAACAAGGTTTAGGAAGAACAGGAACCTGACTGATTGGGACCTTTGAAATGGTTTGTAGGCCTTCTGCAAAGAGGTGGTTGCTCTCACCTCTTTGCTACTTTGTTCCAAATTTTAATTCCTAAGAGACACTGTCTCAGGCTAACTATCCCTGACTTAATTATCTGTGGTGCTTGAAGGTAGATTTTCAGAACAGCAGCCTTGACATCCCCTAAGAATTGGTTAGAAATGCAAATATTGGGCCACACCCACACAACAAGTAGAAAAGAAACTTTAGGGATGGGTCCCACAATTTGAATTGTAGTCAGTCTTTATCTGCTAGACTGGTGAAAGATTATGAGCCTTGATAATACCAAAGACTTTGAAAAGGTGTCCTGTCTCGGGGATTGATCACCCTGGGCCCTGCTCTATGCAGCTGAGTCTTGTCAGAGAGGAGAAGCACCATAAACCTAGCAGTGACATCATGTGGTGCAAAGTGGGTAAACTGTCTGAGTCTTTATGGTAAAATTTTGCTGTTTTGAGTATTTTTTTATGTTCAACACCATTCAGTCAATTTCAATTACAGTTTGTCACTGCAAAGGCATTTAGGAAAAGTTCATTTCATTGGATTTTACTGCAAACTCAGAATTACTGAAAGACAAGGCAAAAGAGACAGAATCATAGAAAAATACAAAATACATGTAGTAGTAGGGCCAAGTAAGACAGATGTGCAAATTGGATGTAGCCACTCAAAGCTCTCCACACATCACAGATAGCCTCTGGACTTTGAGAAACAGCACCTCTGTTTCTTAAGACTTTGCTACTTCTGTATCAGCTTCTTCATTACTGGCTTATCTTTCATCGGTCTGGGAGATCTGCTTTGTATACTTCTGTAACCACAGGCACCATTTGCTTGCTTATATTATTTAAAATTTAATAAAATGTTAAAATCCAATTTCTCAGTCATAATATCATATGTAAGTGCTCAAAAGTGACACAGACCCATGGCTACCATTTGGACATCACAGGTATAGAGTATTTCCATCATTTTAGGAAGTTCTTTTGCACAGCACTGCTTGACATTCTTTTACTTAGAGATTTTTAGATACTGTTCGTGCTGAAACCCACTCTTTTTCTTCATGTCAAATTTCAGAGAGAAAGAATGAATGAAGAGAGAAAGAGATGGAAAGAAGTCACCATTTTAAGCCATTGACTGGACATCTTAAAAAATGCAGATTACCCAACATAAAAATTGTCAAAACTCTTTAGCAGGCACCAACACACACATAGACACAGACATACACACACAGTCAATAAAAATATAAAAATGAGCTTGAAGACCACAGTGGGCTACTACTAAACACCCAGCAAAATAAGAATATATCTGACAAGATGATGTCATAAAAAAATAAAGACATTAAAAAATGAGAATAGTTATGCTCCAATAGCATGTAATTTATAAAAACAATAGACTGTCCTGAAAACCATAGTTTACCAATCTCTGCCACCCAGTCTTAAGAATTAATAAACCATGTATATTAGGGTACTGTAAAGGAGCAGAATGAATTTTAAAAAAGGAATGATCAATGGAATTTCTTGGTAGACTCACAGGATCAGAAGTGGGAGAGTCTACAATGGCCATCTAAGTGATGGAGAGACTAAGGACCAGTAGCTGTTAAGTCCAAGAAGATGAAAGTTGTTGTAGCTTGGCATAACTGACTCCATCTTGAGCCCTGCATTTAACTAGTGCCCTGTATTTGACCCAGGAAAATGGAAAATTACTCAGGGTATAAGTCCCATGAGAAAAGCAAAATGAGCTGTACTCACAGGAGAAAAATTAACCTACTCAACAAAAGAAGCAGGATACAGGTGTCAACTAAAAATTAATGTAAGGTTCTAGCTAAATTGTTTCCAACATGATGTCTTTTTGTGATTCTCTGTTTAAAAGCTTTGTAATTTACCAGTTTGCGACCACGCAATGAGATTCTGAAATGGATCCACTCAAATTGCTGAACTCAGCTAATTAAATTCTGAATTTATCAGTTTGGCTGCTTGGATTCCTATAATGTTTATGAACCCACTTCAGAAGCCCCAGAAAAATCAAGAATGTAGCACTAGTCCAAGGACAAAGGCCTACAAGCTCGTTGGAAAGTTTTCATTGCAAATCTGCATTGGAAGGCTGAAGAAACTGGAGACAATATTCAAAGGCAAGGACAAAGTTGGAGCTCTTCCTGACACATTTCTTCTTTCCCTTTTTGTTCTACCCAAAGCTACAAGCCCATTTGTTAATACCACCCACAACAGGGGTAGATCTTCCCCTATTTGCTGGCCTATATGTCAATCATCCACAGACACACCCAGAACTGTGTTTTATCAATCTACTAGGCTTTCTTAAGGCAGTACGTTTGACAAATTGTGATTAATGGTCCTGCCATGTCTATGCATAAAAATATGGAGGAACCTTACAAAAATGACATTGAAGAAAAGAGTGCATACTGTACAATAACAGAAAATTTTAAAAAGAAACTAATGTTAGAACATGAAGTAATAGCTTCAGAAGATAGTGGCAGGAGTGAGCATGAATTAGGTCTCTAGATATTATTCAAATTCTTTATCATGTATAGACAAATGGAAACTCGGCACTTTACCCCAATGTTTGATACGCAAGCAGAGCCAGTGATCTGTGACTACTACAAAATATGTCCTGAGAGCAGCTGAAGCTGGACTCCAACAGTCTCCTTCCCATTCTTGGCCTGGCTACTTTTTGCCTTGCATCTTCTCAGAACTCCCATTGCCTGCTCAGCAGTCAGCTTCTGCTTGTGTTGCCTCTGTTTTGGAAAGTTCTGTGCATAGTTCCTAAGTTTCTCTGGGAAGTGATTTTGCTCTTGTGAGGAATAACAATGATGTTTTAACAAATATTTGGAGTAGACTATGTACATATGCATGCATTCTTCTATGTATTTTGATATCCCTTTTTTAGCTTCCTTAGTTATAACAGTTATTCATGTTCCTTTTAGAAAATACTGCTACTTAAGGCTTTAAAAATCATCAGCAAACCTACAAATCAATGAGGAACATTTCTTCCCCATCTTTCATTAAATTTTTAAAAACATCATCATTTTAATGCCTAAGATATTTTGTTATGTAAAGTTAACCATTTTTAATCGATCATTTGTCATAGAATAAATCATTTCTAATTTTTTGGCATTATAAGTTAACACTGATGTGCACTGTAGTTTAAAATGTGTGAGCATTCATGATTATGTGTTTAGAAATAAAACTGAACAGTAAGAGAATATAAATGCTTTTAATTTTAAATTAATTGCTGAGTTGCACGGAGCCTTTCAAAATTATTTATAGATGTTGTGGTTGATGTTTCCTAATAGCCCACATAGGTCTGGCATCCTTTCTAAGATAATTGAATCACATTCTGAAAGCAACTTAAACTGTTTGAGACAAATTCTAATAGTGCTAATGTAGTAGTTGATGGAACTGTCAGGGAGGAATAAGCGTCCATGGGGAAGGGGAATGCTTGGTGTTATGTGTGGTTATCTGGCTCTCATGAGCAGGCTAGGTACTGTGCTAGGACTACTAGATCAAATGTCACAGATTGTCACTATCTCGCCATTCTGGAAGCAGTGCTGGTTCCTGCTGAGGGATGTAAAGGAAGGATGTGTTCTGGGCCTTCCTCACTTATTGATGGACATGTGCTTTCTACGCCTTATCATATCATCTTCCCTTTATGCATGTCTGGCTCTGTGACCAAATTTGTCCCTTTATAAATTGACTCTAGATTGGGTCCCACTCTAGGGTCTTATGTGAAGTTGACTATCTTCATAAAGACTCCATTCAAAATAAGGCCACATTGTAACATCCTGGGTGTTAGGACTTCAGTGTAAGAATGGGGTGGGGAGGTGAGGGAATGCAGCCCACCACACTCAATAAACCTAAATAAGAGAAATTTTCTTGATCTCTGTACTAGTGCTTTGAGCCATAGAATCATGTAGACCAGAGTGCAATTGAACATTTGATTGGGAAATAAAGACCCAATCTAAAAAATTGAAGATAGCAACTGGAAACCATTCAAGAATCACCAACGTGTGTAATATAGAGCACTGCCTGAATGCTGTGGAACAGCTGAAGCTGCCTGCTTCGAGGAGCAAAGGCCGAGATCTCTTCTTCAAGTACACAGCCCTGTCACTCTTGGTCAGGAATTCCCAAAGACTGGTGACTTTCCATTGGTAGACATTCCCTGGCAATACATCTTAGACAAACCATCCCAAGTAAGCTTTCAAAATATGCCCTACTAGGGGCTGGGGATTTAGCTCAGTGGCATAAGCGCCTGCCTTGCCAGCAGGCAGTGGTGAGTTTGATCCCTGGTACCAATAAAAAGGAAAAAGACAAAAAACAAACAAACAAAAAAAATCCCCTACTGAGGGTGTCATACAATTTCCATTTCCTTTTTTCTCGTTAAACATCTAATCTCTGCATGGACTTTTTAACCTTAACAAAGGCAGTCAATATGTGGCATAATTTTGTACACAAATTAAAGATGGGCTGGGTGTGCATTCAGCGGGGAGAAAGAATTCTGGTTTTTTTTGAGCTTTTGTAACCCTCTTTGCTGAGAATTATCCTGGCAGATGTATACACCTTTGTGGCAGAGATGCTATGGTGTGTAGGATTTGTGTAAGAGCCTTGTTTCACTGCAGATTGTGCTAGCACTTAGGCAATAGATTTGGAGATTAAGGACAACTTTAGTTCTGCCTTACATGAGAAGCTTATGATGTGAAATTTCTCATGGAAAGCTGCACTTCAATATAATATGTCATGGCACATTATCTTTGGTATTCTCTCTTCACTAAACTGTGATTCTAACCTTTTCTCTTGGGTTATCTTTGCCCTCTCCTGTGTCTCAAGCTCCTCAGCAGGTAGGGCCACTTGCCTCACGGTGGACAGAAAGCAAAGTGAAACGGAAAGGATGGGGAACCTATGTCCCCCCAGAGGCTTGCCTGTGACCCGACTTCCTTCCACAAGGGCCACCACCTGAAGACTACTCAGTTATAGTGAGAGGGGCTGACTGAAATGCTTCATTCTGGCTCCACTGTCCTGCAAGTGACAGGCTTTCATCTGCAGGATTTATGTTATTATTTCAGAAAATTATACTCATTTAAATCTAAACATCATTAAAACAAGCAAAATATAACCCCATTACTTTTCACACATGTGAAACAGTGAGTAAATATCAGGGATGTCTCTCTCATGGCTTTTGCTTGCAAGTTACCTGCTCTTGAAGCCATTCCACCTCTGGTTATTAGCCCAGATGGCTGGTAGATGGGGACAGGATTTTAAGAAAATTTGACTGTGCTCAATAACCATCATATCAGAGAAGCTTTTTATGACATGTATCTTTACTGTTATGGTTTGAACCAGCAACGTCCCCTAAAAGCCACATGCTGATGCCTTGGTCCCTGACTCTGGTGCTACTGGGAAGTGATGTAATCTTCAGGTTGTGGCCCTTGTGGAAGGAAGTCAGGTCACAGGCAAGCCCCTGGGGGGACATCAGTACCCCACCCTTTTTGTTTCACTTTGCTTCCCATCCACCATGAGGCAAGCCACCCTGCCTGCTGTTCCCTTTCGTACTACATTGCACGGTGCTGCCCATAGCAGTGGGCTCAAGTGGCTGAGGTGGAATTCTAATATGGTAACCAGGGTAGACCATCGCTTCTTTTAGGCAGATTTTCTCAGGTGTTCTGTCACCTGAATGGGAAGCTGGTTACTGTGCTTTCTTAATATGGAGTAGGAGTGCCTTCCTGCTCAAGGTAGATCTGCATTCCTGGGTCGGTGGGCCTCAGGGCACTGGCTCACAAAAGCTCCTTGTCAAATTCCAGGAGTTTATGAGTCAGTTGTTAAACACAGCCAGTTTTAAAAATTAAAGTAAGTAAATGTATTAAATAA